AATGTTCACATCGTAGTTACAGCAAGCGTCGGTAGGTCTAGTGTTAACGGTGACATAATTTCGCCCAGGCACTTTTTTTCCACGGACAAACAATTCCTGAAAAAATAGAATGCCTGCGAGTGTTGTATCGTTTCGCTCGTGTGAATCACGAGTTTTGCAGAGATTGACGATAACGATGGAAACTTGGATCAGTTTCCCGAGCTGATGTCACGTGATCCTTGGACCCGATAAAAGAAAGCAGTTCGACGAGTCGTTATCGGTGACGAGAAAAGTTCGGAAAGTAAACGTGAATACTCGGGATCCTAAGGTGAACAACAGCACCGATTGAAACACTACCATAACAAACACACAGTTTTACAAGCTCTTCAAGTTCAATCTGGCCGTTTCCGTTTCGCGGCCCCTAAAAGCGAGGGAACAGCGGTTTCGATTTAATTATTTTTTTGTTTCTTCTTCAAGCCGTAGATTATCTTCTCTAAGCGTTAAAGCCTAAATGCTCTTCTGCTTACTTTAAAGCCCCGCTAAAGTCGATCGAAGGATAAAGATATCTTCTTCCTTTCAAACGAAATCTTAGCACCAAGATAGTAGATCTGACAGTGAAAGTTGGCAATAGAATGTTTGCTATCGAAAATGAACACAAACCTAGCAATATTTTATTCTAACTCTACTCGTCAGTTTTACCTTCAATTTTCATCTCATCTCTCCATTCGACTGTATTAGGGCTTTAAAGAGCTTCGGCTAGAATCTGAGCCGCCACTCGCCTAAGCACGCAGTGTAGTTTACATATTGTCACAATCTTCGCCTCTCGCCTACGACATCCACTTACGAATCAACTCTCTGTTCAACATAGTTACACGGTACACAAGAGCAACGCTTCCGTCATCCAAACTCCACTCAACTCTTGGCACAACAACGATCACGAGGAGATAATCTAGCGTGAGAGTCTAAAGAGGGGAGATCCCCTGTGTTTTGTCACAGTTTCTGGATTAACTCCACTCCGTAGACCTCGACGATTCTTCATCGATCAGTTGTGCATCCTCGGCAATCGAGTCTTTTCTCCCAATTCTCACGTGTCAATTATTAATGAACGAGCAACGCTTCCGTCATCCAAACTCCACTCAACTCTTGGCACAACAACGATCACGAGGAGATAAACTAGCGTGAGAGTCTAAAGAGGGGAGATCCCCTGTGTTCTGTCACAGTTTCTGGATTAACTCCACTCCGTAGACCTCGACGATTCTTCATCGATCAGTTTGTGCATCCTCGGCAATCGAGTCTTTTCTCCCAATTTTCACGTGTCAATTATTAAAGAACTAATCAAAGAATACTCGCAAATCTTGGTACCTTTAATTTCACACAACTGACTCGTAGAATCGAGAAAATTAGCTGACATCTCGTTTTTACAATTCTTTTCTTGAACGTTTGGACGACACACGTCGCGCGACACTTGGCTACTTACTATAAACGATTGTCAGGGACGGACAGTGAGGTCGTTCAACGCAAAACGTTTAAAAAGAAAGATCGCCACGTGACAGGGGCAAACGACTGTGAACAAGTGACTCGAGATCATTTATCATTCTCGAGTCACTTGTGTCCCGTCTACGTAATTCTAGAAAGGAAAAATATTCGAGACAGACACGAGAATTCGAATGGCGAAAGTTCGAGCACGTGTCTCTATGTAATCACACGGAAATAAAAAAGTGTTCGACTGAAATGGAGGAACCTTTCTCTGTTTAAAACGATATCTTCGACGCGTGGAGAAAAACGAACAAGCACAAAACGATTTTCTTTCACAGGGATCAACGAATACACACACACACTCTCTCTCTCTCGCATACACCATGTTTGTTTCAACGGAACGCTATTTTATATACCTAACGCTATCGCTAACGTCAAAGAGCATCACCAACGCAATAAAAAGTAATAAAAAAGTATCTCAAGGATCAAGCATACTCGAGCTATTATTTCGGAGTTAATGACAATGTAAAATTACAACGTGGATACACATCTCTGACTTCGGAGGTACGGTCAATTAAACCACTGTTGTCCAGCTGGTTCGTTAATTCACCACCGATGGTCGACACGATTATTCGACCGGGTTCTCGAACGTTAGAAGAAGCCTTTCTGATCGTCGGAACACGCGTGAGAAATCAGAGAGAAACATGCTTGATCGACGGTGGTATCTTTTTTTTTTTTCATTTTTCCTTTTTTCGAACGCGACATCGTCTACACTTTGTCTCGCCTCTTCGATTGCCTAAAAATGCTTAACAACGAGTATAACGACTCTGTCCTCACGAGATATACACATACGTGTGTGTGTGTGTGTGTATAGGTCGCGAGAAAGCTCTTAAGTTTATTGCTTCGTCTAATCTAGAATTGAGCCGCGAGTACGACTTCGACGTTCGGCCGTTGAACATGTAGTTACACTTTGTTAACGATGTTAAATCGATTCGTTATCGATGGACAAGAGTTGCGTGTGAGTACTTAACGAGTACTGTATGTCAATCAGTTCTACACTAGGAACCAGCCTAATTTTGTAACACAGCTTCCTTCGCTTGTCTCTCCTTCGGCGGATTTTTCGACTATTCAGGAACGGATAGGATGGACCAAATTCGAGAATGAGGCGGGATGACTGGTTTGGCAGTGTTGGCATACTATGCCCATAGGAATCTCTGCGTGTGGAACATCACTGAGGGTGATGCTCGTGTATGTAATCTCAACGATCGTTATCACTCATGGTATACTTGCGATACAAAGGGATGATCTGTTTAGGCGTGAAAACAAAAGTGCTAAGAAATCATTCCTGATGTCCAAACTAAGGCATTCCCCATCGAAGCTAAATAGTTCGTCCACTAAGTAGATCTCCAAAGAAGAGCGCGTTTAAGGAAGGCTAGCGAGAATCGAGTGATTCAAGTGGTCGTGAAAAGTCAATGAAACCTGAACACGCTTGCCTCTGACAAAGAAGCAGGAGCTATAATCTCGCGATAGTGGTAAAGGTTTGACCTCGGATTCTTCGAGTGGCAGTTCTACCGAAGGAAATGGAGGAGAAATATCGTCCCAGAAGGTGATCATGACTAGCCTCTGTTGATGAACATGGATGGAAGAGCACTGGCTCTATTGGATTCTTAGATTCGAGAGGAGACATGATACCTAATGGATGTCAGAGGTTGAGATCAACTCTGGCGAGCTGAGGTAAGGAGAGCAGCTGTCTTCTGTAGGTTTGATTAGGAGTCTGTCTATTGGCATACTTTTACGTCAACTAGTGTAGATCTATATTGGCATACTTTATACAGTGTTCAGCCTATATGGCACATAGCGATGACAATGGATGTTAGCCCACCGTGTCACTCGTTATAATACCATAAGGCTGTTTGCCACCACGTTAATTGCTGTGTTTCAAGTCTTCTGTCTTAATGGGCTGACGAGTGTTTTTCTTGTGTCACATCGAGAGCGCCCCGGGTTCTTCTTCCATCTATACTAATAAAGTATTGCCTATGCAACATGCACGTGTCTCTTCTGAAATCTCATGCGACATCCTCCTACAAATTTCCACCCTTTCGAACCGATCCATTGCAACATCAACGACAACATCTATCAATTATATCATCGACGATATAATTAGCGGCCGCGACACTCGTTTCATCAACCGACGTACGTAATTACATAATAAAATACGATGTACGATAATCGGAGTAAGACGCTCTTTCGCTGTACAGCGACGGATAAGAAAATAAGAGAAAAGCGATCGACAGTTTTTATTTTTTTTTTTTTCGTATTTAAGCCGTCATTTAAACTCTACTACATGTTCGTCGTCGACCTCCTTTCTTCCCGTATCCTCCTCCACCGTCATCTCTCTCTTCCCATCTCTCCTCTCCTCATTCGAAAAACTGTACAATGGCTACGCTATTTATAAGAACAACAAGATCCCAGAGGCTCCATCATAACAACAACGACGAGAATACTGATTATTGGTGTTTTTGGCAGCCGATATCCGCGCGTGCGTTCTCGCGCGAACAAACAATCT